GCCATGCAGAACATGAAGCAGACTTGTTTGGTTGTTCCAGAGTGCAGCACTAGAACCAAGAAGTGACCATAGCCAAGAAAGTAGATTTGGTTAAACATTAGCAATACCTCATTCTAACTGAGTTTTTCAACAATAGAACAAATAGAATCAGAAGGTGATAGTCATTCATGAAAATATTTAACTTGACAACCATCTAGGAATGTAACAGCTGCATCCTGCATTTCAGATCCTGCAGTGAGCTGGACTAGATGACCTTCAAGTTCCTTTCCATTTCTAACAACAATCCCCTGACATTGCAAACTGCAACTTTTAAAGAAAGAGCATTGTCGTCAAGACTGCTCCACATCAATCCAATCCAATCAGCCTTTATTGCCATATACATAGCAAAGAGGTATAAAATACAGTACAGATCATAGAAAAGGGAACTTCACATTTGCTACACATTCAGTTTAGAGACTTCATTCAGGAATCTTGCCACTGAAAGGCAGCAGTTAAAATCTTGACAATTTAAAAGCATAATTACTTTGTCTGAGTCTCTGTAGTTTTTCAAGGAATCTATAACATGTGGTAGTAAGCTAATTCTTAGATCCTGGTAAAGTGGGCAGTGCAGAAGAATATGTGGTTTGGAATCCAACTGTCCTGTGCTACAGGGACAAAGCCTCTTATTGCTTGGTAGACCGTTGAGTTTTAAACCACTTCATTGGATGTGTTGCAATAGCAGATTCCCAGATTAGTTTAGTGTTTACACCTTATTTTATTTTTCTGGTTATTTAATATTTAATGTTTATTTTACTTAAGTGATATTTGTCTTGACTGTTCTAATGTAGCACAAATCCTATGTAAAATCATACTACGTATTTTTGACATTAATATTGAAATCTGAAATATATACAGAAAGTCTTGAGAGTTGCTGGGACTTTGGTAGTGGATAGATAACCAAAATTTAATGATGTTTAGCCAGATAGTGGCCTCTATAGAGTATTGGCCAGATTCTAGACATAGAACTGCATATGGGACACAGTTTGAGACACCAAATAATTTGTGGAGGAATTTCGAGTAGAAAGATCTGCTGGCACTGTTACCAGTACCAAATGGGTGCCACCAAATGGGTGTCCCATAGAGTAGTTGTGACATTGCCTTTGCTTGGAAGACTTGCAGAGCTGGAGGGATATATTGGTTGCCCCTGGAGTGGAAAAACCTCCTGGTGGAACTGCCGCTTGATTGGGCCCGGGCCAGTGTATATTTTAAGTGAGTGGCCCATGACAGGTTGTTACTGAACCAAAGTCCTAGGTATTTGAAATGTTTTACTCGCTCGATATAGTGGCTCTTTATCTTCCAGACTTGTTTTTTATTGCTTTTCCCAAAAACCAGGATCTTGGTTTTATCATAATTCACCTGTAGTTCATTGATCTCACAGAAATCAACAAATTTGTGCAGGAGTCTTTTTAAACCCACATGGGAGAGGGATAGTAGGGCTGTATCATCCGAAAATAGCAAGAGGGGAACATGCTTTGGGCCAATCTTGGGACTATGCCCGTCTACTTGGGCCAGAGCTATAGGGAGATCATGCAAGAAGATGTTGAAGAGGAGTGGGGCTAGTACGCACCCTTGCTCCACATGAAATTAAGGTCTTGCCTCCAAAACCTCCTCTGCACAATATGGTTCCAATTCTGATTTAAAATGATAGGTACAGTACTTCAATGTGACATAATATGTGTTTTTTCTCCAAATTAATTATCTAGGGACTCATCTACACTGCCAAGGAGCCCCCGGTGGTGCAATAAACCCTTATGCCAGTAGGACTGAAGACCGACAGGTTGGAGGTTTGGATCCGGGGACAGTGTGGATGAGCTCTCTCTGTCAGCTCCAGCTCCCCATGCAGGGCCACGAGAGAAGCCTCCCACAAGGATGGTAAAACATCAAAAAACATCCGGCTGTGCCCTGGGCAATGTTCTTGCAGATGGCCAATTCTCTCACACCAGAAGTGACTTTCAGTTTCTCAAGTCACTCCTGATACCAAAAAAACAAAAACTGCACTGCCATATAAAATCCAGATTATTTGCTTTAAACTGGATTATATGGCAGTGTAGACTCATATAATCCAGTTCAAAGCAGATAATGTGGATTATCTACTTCAATAATCTGGATTATATGGCAGTGTAGAAGGGGTCTAAGAGGTTACCGATACACATAGAAGCAGTGTGATGTAGTGGCCAAAGTATTGGACTGGAATTTGAGAAATCCAAACTGTTGTTCCTATTGGACCATGGAATCTATTTGGTGATCTAGAAACATTCACAGCAACCTGTTGGTTAGTTCTAGTAACAGTATTGAATCAAATGTTAAACGGTGAATCAACATGTACTTTATTTATTTATTTATTTATTTACTGCATTTCTATACAGCTTTTCTCACCCCTGGGGGGACTCAAAGCAGTTTACAACATAATAAATGGCAAATTCAATGCCTCACATATATACAAAAATATCACATATCCAAATCAATAACATATAACTATAGAAAAAAACCAATACCACTGAGGCATTGGTCTGCTTTAAGGACTAACTACAAGATTTAGGCCAGTGCCTCTCATCCTGTTCTACCTCACATAATTGTTTCGAGGATAAAATTGAGAGAAGAACCATGTAGACTGGTTTCAGGTGACTAAAGGAAAGGAAGCCAACAAACAAACGTACATGTAAATAAGCATCTACTTATCCACAATATTCCTTCAAATAGAGCCTTTTATTTAGCTGGTCAATTCAGAACAATGTTTTTGCTCATTTGCTAGTAACACAATATCTCTCTTAAAGAAGATAAAGTATTCTGCATTTCACAGCCAAATACAGCACCACCTTCACCCATTTTAAGAGGACCAAGAAAGATGCATAAAGCGTGCTGTAATGAAGTCTGCACCTTGAGAAAGTACAAGGAAACTTGGTATGTTCTCTTAACAAAGAAATCTAATTGCAAGGTGATACTTGAAGGAATGCCTCTTGAACACTGTTGGTTATTCAGACTCAAATTTGTTCAAATAGCAGAGGAAGGTGGGGAAAATGTTCATTTGCAATCTGCTTCAGACAATAAAATACCTTAAGTAGGTCACTCTGAGAAAGCTTGGTCCAACATAGGGCCCTTCCACACAGCCCTATATCCCAGAATATCAAAGCCGGGAATTCTACATTATCTGAGTGTGGGCTCAGATAACCCAGTTCAAAGTAGATATTGTGGGATTTCTGCCTTGATATTCTGGGATATAGGGCTGTGTGGAAGGGCCTTGAGAGGTAAAAGCTTTATATTTGTCAAGCACACTGAAAAACATGAGTGCTGTAATGATCCCCATTGCATCAAAACAAGCAAGAACAACAAAGCTGTCTTCTGAGAAAGACCACTAGTCCATGAAGTTCAACACACAATGGTTTTCCAGGGTCCTCAGAAGACATCACGAGCCAACTTCCAACCCACCACGGAATATATAGGGAAGCTGACTATCCCCAAGGGACAATGAGAAATAGTAACCAACTTCAAGTTTGGTCCAGATCTATTATTGTTTGCGTCCACAGTGCTCTCTGGATATAGATGAACTACAACTCCAAAACTCAAGGTCAATGCCCATCAAATCCCTACAGTATTTTCTGTTGGTCATGGGAGTTACATGCAGTCATGCTAGCCACATGACCTCGGAGGTGTCTAGGGACAACACTGGGTCTTCAGCTTAGAAATGGAGATGAGCACCACACCCCAGAGTTGGACAAGACTGGACTTAATGTCAGGGGAAAACCTTTACCTTTACCTACCATGGGAGTTCTGTGTGCCAAGTTTGGTTCAATTCCATCGTTGGTGGAGTTCAGAATACTCTTCTATTGTAGGTGAACTATACATCCCAGCAACTTCAACTCCCAAATGTCAAGTCTATTTTCCCTAAATTCCACCAATGTTCACATTTGGTAATACTGAATATTTTTCCCAAGTTTGGCCAAGATTGATCATTGCTTGAGTCAACAGTACTCTCTGGATGTAGGTGAACTACAACTCTACTACTCAAAGTAAATGCCCACCAAACCCTTCCAATATTTTCTGTTGGTCATGGGAATTTCATGTGCCAAGTTTGGTTCAATTCCATCATTGGTGGAGTTCAGAATGTTCCTTGATTATAGGTGAACTATCAACCCCAGCAACTGCAACTCCCAAATGACAAAATCAATCCCCCAAAACAACCCCACTGGTATTCAAATGTGGGCGCATTGGGTATTTGTGCCAAATTTGGTCCAGTGAATTAAAATACACCCAATATTTACATGACGATCCATAACAGGAGAAAATTACAGTTATGAAGTAGTAACGAAAATAATGTGATGGTTGGGGGTCACCACAACATGAGGAACTGTATTAAGGAGTCACGGCATTTGGAAGATTGAGAAACACTGCTCTACACTGCTATATAATCCGGTTCAGATAATCTGGATTGTATATGGCAGTATAGAAGGGATATCCCTGTCCTTAATCCATGGGTAATTCCTGGATTGATGGAAAGAGGTGGAGATGGATACCACATCCAGCCAAATAGGATTGGTTACCAGTTACCTTGGATGCATGTACACCAGGCATGGGCCAATTTGGGCCCTCTAGGGGTTTTGGACTTCAACTCCCACCATTCCTAACAGCCTCAGGCCCCTTCCTTTTCCCCCTCTGCTGCTTAAGCGGCTGAGGGGGAAAAGGAAAGGGCCTGAGGCTGTTAGGAATGGTGGGAGTTGAAGTCCAAAACATCTGGTGAGCCCAAGTTGGCCCATGGCTGCTCTTAAGTATTCCTTCCCTTCTCCTCGACTTCTTTCCTACCTACCTGCTTGCTTTGGAGAGGAAGCAACACCTGAGACGCCTTTGCGCTGCCCTCTTTCTCAGGCTGGCTCTCAGTGGCCAGCCTTCCCCTGGGGTGCCACTATGTCCCCCTCTTGCTTTCCCCTTTGATGCATACTGTCCCCTCCCTCCTTCCTCCCTCTTACCTGCTAGCCTTGCAGCCAGGGCAGTCCACCAACTCGCCAGCCAACTTCCCTGAGCGAAGCTCACCCCCCTTGTTGCTTGCTGGCTCCCCTCCCAGGCGCCAGAAAGGGGCTTGCGCTCTGCTTCTCCTCCCATGACGCTCCCCCCATTCAACCAACCCCCCGCAGGCCATTTGCCACCGGCTCCGGGCCCCGCCCCTGGGCTAGCCCCACAGAAGCGGAGGAAAGCGCCTTGAGGGCGAGGGGGAGGAGGAGGAGGAGCTCTCGCCTTGCCCCCTTGGCTTGGACCCTTCCTTGGGACGGAGACGGAGGAGTCGGGGCGGCAGGCATGGGAGCAACGGGGCGGCCCGGCCATTGGCCCCTGGCCCTGCTCCTCACCGCCGCTTCCCTGCTGGCCCTCCACGGGCAGGAGCTGGACCCTTTCCCCGTGGCTTTCTCCGCCGAGGTGAGTCACTCCCCAGCCCCAGTCCTCGTGGCTTTCCGTGGCTGAGTCTTTTGACAGGCAGGCACCCAGGGCGCCTCCATCTATCCCAGCGCTTCTCAACCTTCCTAATGCCACAAGCCCTTCAGACAGTTCCCTATGTTGTGGTGCCCTCCCCAACCATCACATTATTGTCGCTGCTACTTCATCTGTCATTTTGCTACTGTTATGAAAATGTGGCTTGTTCTGGAAACAATGATTGGTGAAAAAACTTAAATCTGTGGTCCCCAAACTTCCTAATGCTGGGACCCCTAAATACAGTTCCCTATGTTGTGGGGACCCCCCCCCCCCCAACCATCACATTATTCTCGTTGCTACTTCATCACTGTCATTTTGCTATTGGAATGTAAATATCTGATATGCAGGATGTATTTTCGTTCACTGGACGAAATTTGGCACAAATACTCAATGCGGCCAAATCTGAATACAGGTGGGGTTTGGGGAGGAGGTTGATTTTGTCATTTGGGAGTTGCAATTTTGGGATGTATAGTTCACCTACAATCAAAGAGCATTCTGAACTCCACCAACGATGGAATGAACCAAACTTGGCACGCAAAACTCCCATGACCAACAGAAAATACTGGAAAGGTCTGGTGGGCATTGACCTTGTGTTTTGGAGTTGTAGTTCACCAACAGCCAGAGAGCACTGTAGACTCAAACAATGATAGATCTCGACCAAACTTGGCACGAATACTCAATATGCCCAAATGTGAACACTGGTGACAGGCGTGTAGCTGGGGGGGGGTGGACTTGAGGGGCTTCAGCCCCCCCCCCAAATTCTCATGGTGGGTCACAAAAAGGCCTTACTGGTGCATTATTTAAACTGTTATGTTTATTCATATCATGATCTGATCACCATGTATTGGGGTAACGATACAAAAGGTTTGCTAGGGTCGACCCTCTTTCACTCGGACTCAGCCCCCCCCCCAAATCAAACTCAGACACACACACACACACACCTGAAATCAAAATCCTGGCTACGGGCCTGACTGGTGGAGTTTGGGGAAAATAGAACTTGACATTTGGGAGTTGTAGTTGCTGGGATTCATAGTTCAAAGTAAATACACAAATATCCTGTTGCTATATACTTCAGCAAAAGTATCAATACAATTAATCATGTGGATACTTAATTAATCCGTATAGTACACAAGCATAAGGTGTGTGTGTGTGTGTATATATATATATATATATATCCCAAAACCTTCATTTTTGGTGTTCCCAAGACTTTTTATCTCATCTTGAACTCACATGGGACTATTTTGGATATTTTAAAGTTTGTCCACATGACTTTTGGAAGATCCGACAAATTATTTGGAAAACATGAATATTATGTTTGTTACGCCATTGTAAATAGTCCCATTGCATTTGTACTCTATGCTTGTGTACTATACAAATTAATTAAATATTCTCATGATTAATTGTATTGATACTTTTGCTGAAGTTTATAGCAACAGGACATTTGTGTATTTACTTTGTACTTATAGATATCTGTCTAGTTAGAGGATTTATAGTTCACCTACAATCAAAGAGCATTCTGAACTCCACCAATGATGGAATTGAGTCAAACTTGGGACACAGAACTCCCATGAATATCAAAAAATATTGGAAGGACTTGGTGGGCATTGACCTTGAGTTTTGGAGTTGTAGTTCACCTACATCTGGAGAACACTGTGGACTCAATCAATGGATCTGGACCAAATTTGGCATGGATACTCAATATGCCCAAATGTGAATACTAGTGGAGTTTGGGGAAAATAGACTTGACATCTGACAGTTCTAGTTGCTGGGATTTATAGTTGACCTACAATCAAAGAGCATTCTGAACTCCACCAGCAATGGAATAGAGCCAAGCTTGGCACACAGAACTCCCATGAACATCCAAAAATACTGGAAGAGTTTGAAGTGCATTGACCTTGAGTTTTGGAGTTGTAGGTCAGCTACATCCGGAGGGCACTGTGGACTCAAACCATGATCGATCTGGACCAAACTTGGCATAGATACTCAATATGTTGAAATGTGAATACTAGTGGAGTTTGGAGAAAATAGACATGACATCTGGGAGTTATAGTTGCTAGGATTTATAGTTTACCTACAATCAAAGAGCATTCTGAACTCCACCAACAATGGAATTGAACCAAACTTGGCACACAAAACTCCCATGACCAACAAAAAATACTGGAAGTGTTTGATGGGCACTGACCTTGAGTTTTGGAGTTGTAGTTCACCTACATCCAGAAATCAACCTATGATCAATCTGGACCAAACTTGGGGGAAAATACTCAATATGCCCAAATGTGAACACTGGTGGAGTTTGGGGAAAATAGGCTTGACATCTGGGAGTTGTAGTTCCTGGGATTTATAGTTCATCTACAATCAAAGAGAATTCTGAACACCACCAATGATAGAATTGGGCCAAACCTCCCACACAGAACCCCTATGACCAACAGAAAATACTGTGTTTTCTGATGGTATTTGGTGACCTCTCTGACACCCCCTCGCGACCCTGACCCAGAGGTCCCGACCCTCAGGTTGAGAAACACTCATCTATACTATAGAATCAATGCAACTGCACAACGGTTTGACTGCTATGGCACCCTAGGATTTTGACAGGCAGGCATTTGGGAAGAGTTGGTAGAACTGATGCAGTGGGTTTCTGTGAGTTTTCCGGGCTGTATGGCCATGTTCCAGAAGCATTCTCTCCTGACCTTTCACCCGCATCTGTGGCAGGCATCCGCTTGTCTGTTTGAGGCAGACAGAACAGTTTGGCACCACTTTAACTGCCATGGCTCAGGGATGTGGAATCATTGGAGCTGTAGTTTTACAAGGTCTTTATGTAGCCTTCACCACCAAAGAAGAGTGGTGCTCCACTCAACCATAAACGCTCCATGCCATGGCAGTAAAGTGATTTCAAACCTGCCTCCTTTGACAGCCAGCCATTGCAGGTGTATCTGCACTGTAGAATTAACACAATGTATACTCGAAGGCTTTCATGACCAAAATCACTGGGTTGTTGTGAGTTTTCCAGGCTGTATGGCCATGTTCCAGAAGCATTCTCGCCTGACGTTTCACCTACATTTATGGCAGGCATCCTCAGAGGTTATGAGGTCTGTTGGAAACTAACCAGACCTTGAAACTGCTAGACCATTAAATGCTAATCAAGGTGGCCAGTTGCAACTTTCACACTTACCTCAAATAAACAAAAGTTCTTTCTCCCACCCAGGACATTCCACAGATATATAAATCCTAGTTTTCCAGTTTCCAACAGACCTCCCAACCTCTGAGTATGCCTGCCATAGATGTGGGCAAAAGGTCAGAAGAGAATGCTTCTGGAACATGGCCATACAGCCTAGAAAGCTCACAACAACCCAGAATTGACAAAGTTTGACACTTCAGCTCCACTCCTTGGTCAAATCTGTACGTGTCCACTTTTCTTGGCCATTGGTTGCTTGCTGTTTGGTTATGTTTTCTGATGCCTTAGATTTTATTCTTTTATTGTTTTAATATAGTTAATTGGTATATGTTTTTAATTGTGTTATTTGCAACTTTGTTTCTGTTGGGCTTGGTCTCCATGTAAGCTGCCCCGAGTCCCTTCAGGGAGATGAAGGCAGGATATAAGAATAAAGTCATTGGAGTTGTAGTTCTGCAAGGACTTTAGCCTTCTCTGCTCAAAAGGGCTGGTGGCTCATCAAGCAACAAAGCTCATGATCTCATAGCATTGGGAGAGGCCAATTAAAGTGTGTGAAACTGCATTAATTCTATAGTATAAGGCAGGCATGGGCAAACATGGGCCCTCCAGGTGTTTTGGACTTCAACTCCCACAATTCCTAACAGCTGAATTGTGGGAGTTGAAGTCCAAAACATCTGGAGGGCCAAAGTTTTCCCATGCCTGGTGTAAATACACTATGAGATATAGGTTTGGCTTCTTCACATTGTACCTGGCATGCAACTCAATAGCACAGGATCCCTGCCAGCAGGAGGGGGAATGAGTAACAACTCAGGGTGCATCTCCACTGTAGAATTAATGCAGTTTAACACACTTTTATTGCTCTAACTCAGTGCTATTTGATTGTGGGGTTAGTAGTTTGGTGGGCACCAGCGCTCTTTGGTGGAGAAGGCTGAAGACCTGGTAAAACTACAACCCACAGGATTCCATACTGTTGAGCCATGACAGTTGGAGTGTTGCCAAATTGCATTACTTCTACCATGTAGATGCACTCCCCCATGCCCTGTCTATCCTTTTAACCCCACCCTCCATTCTCAGTTGGTTGCTGTGATGTAAACACACTCTGTGCTCCAAAAAAGAGCCATGTCTGTATTAATTACTTGCTTGGAGTCCCCATGATCCATTCTCCAAACCTGATGATTTGTCACATTTTTGAGACCGGGAAAGACTCATCTGTTTCCCTGGCTCCATGCTGTTTTGTTTATTTTGTTTTGCATTGCTCTTTCCTTCAAGCACAACATGCAGCTTGGCTCACTTTCCCTAGACACTATACTCCTATTGATGGAGACCAAAAGCCAATGAGATTTTGGCCTGCATCAATAGGAGTATACTGTCTAGACCCCTCTATTCTACTTTGGTCAAACCACACCTGGAATACTGTGTCCAATCTGGGCCACACAATTGAAGGGAGATGTTGACAAGCTGGAATGTGTCCACATAAGGGTGACTAAAATGATCAAGGGTCTGGATAACAAGCCCTATGAGGAGTGGCTTAAAGAGCTGGGCATGTTTAGCCTGAAGAAGAGAAGACTGAGAGGAGACGTGATAGCCATGTGTAAATATGTGAGAGGAAGTCATAGGGAGGAGGGAGCAGGCTTGTTTTCTGCTGTCTTGGAAGCGGAACAATGGCTTCAAACTTACAAGAAAGGAGATTCCACCTGAACATTAGGAAGAGCTTCCTGACTGTGAGAGCTGTTCAGCAGTGGAACACTCTGCCCCGGAGTGTGGTGGAGGCTCCTTC